GCGCAAGGGGAGCGAATATTAATGTTCGTTTGCTGCGGGCAAAGCCGATACCGCAGCTCTTCTGGGCGCGCGGTTTTATCCGGCCACCAGCCGAGACGCGCGTAATCCACCGGCACCCCATAAAGCTAATGAGTCACGCGGGGTTCATGGGCTCCATAGATAGTCCGGGGAGACAGGTATACTGTCTAAGACGGTCTAATAATGTTCGTGGAACGGTGGCGGGATTACGATCACCGACAATATCGATATAGGTACACCTTATGCTGCTAAAAATAATATTTCCACGTATTCTACACCTTGTATTAGGTCTACCAATAACGTAGGTCACTATAGTTTCAATATAGTGGCAATACATTTTCGATTGAGATTATTTTTTAAATTTTTTAGCTAGATAAATTAGCGAAGGATACTAAGAACAAATAATTAATAGTGTTAAAATGGGTATGACGTATTTGAATTGTCTCGAAAAGAGTATAGTTTCACATAAAAAATATTGAACTACTTATTGGTATATCCTCCTGGTTTCCACTGAATACATTAAGAAACTAGCTGGACGGACTGTTGTACAGAAAATATCAATTACTCAGTCTTTCGTATTTCTTTCTGTGAAGAATGACTTACGAGATGTGTCGGTTTTAAATGTACATTAATGCAATTCACGGTGAAATGCTTCTTGGAACAGGAATGGTGTCGAATTAAAGTGGCTCTGATGGATATCGCGGCGTAATCTATTTTATCAGAAGGCACGGCTGTATTAAACACGTGATCTATTGCACAAACGCTGATTACAATCACGACAGTCGAATTCGAGTGGAGAACAAAGCACGTGAATCCGGGTACAGGGTCCACGAGCTTTTATCGAAGAAGAAATTGCGAGATAAAGATGGTGAGAGTTCCTTGACCGAAAAATTATTTGTTGAACGAATATTGACACACGCACACGCACACATTTTGTAAGTTACAAATCACAGAATTTCGAAAATTAACAAAATCAATGATACGAACATTATCATTTTTTTGCTCCAAACTTTCACTTCTTGTAAAATATTAATTCTAATTGTTTCGAATGATGAATATTGATATTGTACACAGAACATACCACATTTTATTGCAAGATGAACACTCGCTGCACTATCAAAGTATTACGATCCTTATCTGTAGCCTGTCTAGAGTGTCTAGACGACACATGTGACTCATGGAGTGTCGAGAAACCACTGAATATTCGCTGGACGAAACACGTTAGAAATATCGTATAGTTAGCCTTGTTCAATGACGTGATGTTTAAACGTGTGAAAAGAATTTCAATTGTAACTTTTACTTGACTGTGAATTGGAAAAACGAATAATTAATTCTTTTCGGTGTAAATCATTCGATAGAAAAATTGATTCAATATAACAGAAACTAAATTTAGAACTCAGGGTATAAAAATTGTTGATAAATAAATAAATACGATAAGAAGGTCGCTTCTATGTCTGAAAGGAACTCGGAAGCTTGAGGTAGAAAAGAGACGAGACAGGTAGGAAACTTACAGCAATCGCCGACAGATGGTAGCACGTACTCTGTACACGCTGACGCTTGAATCCTTACTGACCCTCGATACCTGCGACACTTCTATTTATTACCTTTCATTGTATTCATTGTCAAAAATAGATATATAGTAACTATAAAATACAAACTACAAGATTTGTTGAATTTTTCAAATGGACGAAGGACAATTAATCTTTCTCCGGGACAACGACGAATAATCTAATCCAAATGCCATATAGTACTATAATTTATACCACGAAAAGGATAATAATGAGTAGATTCTGCATAGTTACACAACAGAAGCAGTTTTGTTGTATTATCATTGACGCAATAAACGCCTTAGTAAACGATATGAATATCGGTTCTATGGATTAACCAAATTAAATACGAATGTGAATGCACATACGTGCCCTAGTAATTAGATATAAGTAGTAAGGTCAATCATAAATCGAGCAATGTTTCCAGATGTCCAGTATCCTATAAAAATAAACAGGACACGTGAAAAATCGCAGTATAAGGAAATACAGGGGTGATTTCTTATGAAAAAATGAGTTGATATTAGAGAATAAATATTTGTTTCATGAGATTTACCTACTTCTATAAGAATAAAATTTATAAGTCTAAAAATTTTTTATTCGAGTAAAATAAGCGTACGAACTGTTAGATTTTAATTCTGGACCACTGTGTGCCCCCTCCCCCACCCCCGAGAGAAAAATAAAAGAAACTCTCCGAACGAATCTCCAGTTACACCGAGAACGTCCTACGATGTCTCGAGCGCGCCACCGAACGCCTCGATTGCGCTTCGAGTTTCCTTTGGAGCGGTTCGGCGCACTCGAAACACGAGTCAATTCCCGCGGAAACCGTCTAGTGTACTCCAATTACATTCTCAATATCCACGCCGCGGCTCCAGTAGTGTGTACATACGTATGTACCCTCGATTCCCGTCGACGGAACGTGCTCGATGCACACTCACGCCGCGCACCCAATTTTCCATCAAGTCCGATGCACTCGAAATGCATTCTCCCGGGGAGGCCACAGGTATCCGCGCTGCTCCCCCCACCTCCTTCCGCCGTCGCGCCTCCGCACGCTTTTTCTGCCCCCCTTCCCCCACGCATTCCACGGGATCGAGTGGCCCCGGAGGGCCGCGACCCACGCGCCGCGACGCCGCCGCGTCGCTCGACCGCTCAAAGTCGAATGACGATCGCGCCCCCACCACCCACGCAACCGTCGCGCGCGGCACGCTCGTTCTAAGGCCGCGTGGACGAAGGGGGGGCACGAGTCGACCAATAGGATCTCGCACGTCGTACGCCGCATCGGCTCCGGGTCACGTGATTGGCGGCCGCCGGTGTTCCATCCTCTTTCGGCCTTGTAGCGCATCCTCGTCGCTCTCGAAAGCCTGTTTCTCCTCCCCCCACCGAATCTTGTCCTCTCTTTCTCTATCTTCTGTGTCCTCGCCTCTCGTCATCTTTGTCCCATCCACCACCACACAACCACCGAAACCTTTTTTTCCCTTTCCCTGTCTCGCTCGCGACGACACGAGCGCACGATCTACACGGTTCGATCCTCGTCGCACCTCCACCGCGCGCTTCTACGAACTCCTGGGCTTGCTTCTCTCTCCTGCCCTCCTCCCAAGTCCCGCGCGGCAAGCTCGTTTCCTACCCTTTGCAGGGAGGCCGGGTTCAGCGGTTCGAATACTATGGCTGGCTTTGCTCGGCGCCGGAACCATCGGCGGCGACGGCGGCGGCTACGCCGATTATCTTTCCACGGGACTTTGACACGTCTGAGCTCTCAGACCGGAGATACTCGTAGATAGCGGACGGAATTGGTGTAGAAGCTGATTCCGGCGACGCACCGCGGGAGATTGTTTCGTTTCGGGAGGGATTACTGGGATCGTTTCAGGAGTAGAAAACACGGGGTGGAAGTGGATGAGTTGAGAAATTGCGATGTGATGTTCCTTAGGGGATGGGAGAATAGGGTAGATTCTGACGTCAGCCACGACCACTCCCCATTTGGGTACACTCGAATTCTCGAACTCTGAGTCCCTTCGTTCAAAAAATTCAATTGTCTCAGGAGTAGAAACGAGTGTTATTCGATTGAATTCTGTACTGTAGATGATACAAACCTGAATCATATTATTTGTGCGTCATCGTATTCGAGCCGTTCGATAAGCGGTTCCGTCATTTAGATACACACTCTCCGTTGTCCTATCAGTTGCAGCCAGTGCCCGAGAAACACGTATCCCCCTCCTCCTCCCGTTTCATGCGTCGCGTACGTGCACGTACGCGAGAGATAAATGCCGCAGCGTGCGTTTAATCGGTCGCGCAAGTAGAAAGAGTAATTTCGAAAGACGTGTGGGGAGGGAGTAGGAGGCACGTGCCGGTGGAGCCGCGCGTGCGTCAGTCCGCGGTCGACACACGGTGGCACTCTCGGCTATTTTCGAAGAACGTAATACAAGCCCCGATGACGTTCGTAGTCGGGTGTATACGTGTTCCCGGCCGTCTAGAAATTACCATTACCACTCCGTATCCGCGCGGCGGCGCGAACCAGCCAGCCGGTTCTAATGACCTTTCGACGCGCGATACGCGTCACGAGACTAATCGCTACTCGCTGGGGGGGAACACTACGCGGCATTGTTCTTTGTCTGGCGTCATTGCCGAACGATTTGGAATCCCTACTTAACTCGTAATCGCACCTCTTACTATTTAAATTCTCTGAATTCTACGTGAAACTTTAACCAAATCTCACGTTAACTCTGAAATAAGTTAACTTTTCATTTTGATATAAAGAATGCTACGTTTGGCAACTCCCGGTTAGCACCTAGGTTACTGCAAGGTTGCGAATACAGCCGAGAATCAGAGGTGAATATTTTTTCGAAAAAATTGACACGATGATAGCGCAGAAAAATCCGATCGATCGCAGAGAGGTTCGGTAGGACGCGTGGAGGGGGTTCACGCGAGGCAACCCGCCACGGTTGTCGGTTCGGGACCCGTGGAGGGGGTCGCTCTCGTACCCGAAGAGGTGGGGGCTCTTAAAGGCAACCGGGTGCCGTCTGACCGTCGGAATTCGGATGGTGGAGGGAAGCCCAGGTTAAACCGTCACGCGCTATCCCCTCCAACGCGGTCACCGTCGGCGTTTTCCCCCACCCCGAACCGTGGCAGCGCCTCCACCGGGCATTCCATCGGGTGGCACGCTTCGACGGGACGACAGAAGACGTTCGTCGTTCGTTCAGTCAGTCGTGCTCTGACGCCTGTACTGAGCTGTCGGAGTTCAGTGAGTTCAGTTAGCGAGACGAGCAAGGGACGTCGTCAAAGTCCTCTTACTGCGTTCTCGGTTTCGAAACGTACAATCCTGTCTGTCCTCTGTTCACTTCGGTTCGGCCAGCCACCTTTGGATTACGTCGTGGCCGTCGATACCTAAGACAATTTAGTGCTCTAACACAGCGATCTTGGATTACCAGTGCAGTGCTGCGGCAAATTGTTTCACGCAATTTGTCGTGTCTATTATTTTGCCTGACATTTCTGTGATACGAGAATGGTGACCGGGGTGGGCGCCACGATGCCAACCGGCGGTGTCACCGTCGGTGCTACGCCGCCGGCGCAACACGTGCCCCAGGAGGCTGGTCAGCCCCCTGCGCAAACGGCCACCACGACCACAACCACGAGAAGATCCGGCGAAAACCGACGGGTTAGTGTCCTTCTCGGATGCTTTACAAATTTTTGGGGTTACTCCTTCGATCTGCCGTCAACGGGATAGATTTCAGTTGGGGGATTGAAGTCTTGGATCTTTAAGATTCTTGACGGGGGATGATACTGTTCAATAGGCCAGAGACTTGAAATTATAGTTAAACGTATGTCGAGTAGATGCGTTCCCTCGGGTCCGGGCAGATGGAAAATTTTTTGTTTGGGGAATAAAGTACGCTGTCGATGAGAATAGTATTCATTTGGTCTCGACTAGTTTCAATGGGATTCCCTTTTTCCTATTCAAATAACACAGCAACACAATAACTTGTTTAAATTCGTTCTGTTCTCTCGGCTTCGAATTCTAAGACTGCCCATAATAACCACCCTCGGAAAAGAACCGTCGAATTCGAATAGTCGAACGGTGTGCCTGACCTGCCGTTTTCTTTCTGTTACAGAGCAATAAACCGATCATGGAGAAACGGCGGCGAGCCCGCATTAACAACTGTCTAAACGACCTGAAGACACTTATCCTGGACGCAATGAAGAAAGACGTAAGTGTTCTTAACAATCCCGTTCACACCTAATTCATAAATGTCATACCCGTGAGAACAGTGGCAATTTTTTAATGTCCCGACTCCTCTCGAGCCGTTCACTCTCTGCCACTCTTCCCCGGGGACATGTCACGCGAGCCAAGCGAATCACCCCGAGCCGGTTATATAATCGTTCGATTCTTTTCTGATTACAGCCAGCGAGACACTCGAAGCTGGAGAAGGCGGACATCCTCGAGATGACGGTGAAGCACCTGGAGACGCTCCAGCGTCAACAGGTCGCCCTGGCAGCCGCGACAGATCCGAATATCCTGAACAAATTCCGGGCTGGTTTCACGGAATGCGCCGGCGAGGTTGGCAGGTTTCCCGGTCTGGACGCGTCGGTGAAGAGGCGTTTGATGGCCCACTTGGCCTCCTGCCTTGGACCGGTCGAAGCGAACAACGCCAACAACACGCAGACGACGAATCAACAGCCTGTCCAACCGGCGCCACCGACGACGCAGCTCCAGGTCCATATCCTTCCGCAAGTGGACGCGACCCCGAGGATCCAGGTCCAACAATCGAACGGGATCTTCTTCACGAACGCTAACGGCACCGGCCTTCAGCTGGTACCCACCAGGCTGCCGAACGGTGACATCGCGCTAGTCCTGCCGGCGGGAGCCAAGGCGACCCCAGTGACGTCTCCAGCATCCTCGCCTGCGCCTACCTCGCCTCTGCCAACTCTGATCCCTATCCCTCAGAGAACGGCAAGCACGGCGTCAGCATCCTCCTCGACCTCTTCGGCCAGCTCGACGTCCACGTCGGCGGCAAGTCCGATCGCATTCGAGGCACCGCCAGCGAGCTTCCGCGAGCAACCGGTCGCCTTCAACACCACCAACAGCCACAGGGACGTCGCAACGTCACCGGCTAACGGTTACACCAGTGACCCGGAGTTCGACCCCCGTGTCTACAGCCCACCTCTTCAGAAACCCCTCGCTCTGGTGATGAGGAAGAGCAGGTAAAATAAGAAGATGTGAACTATCCGGAGCTCTCGTTGTGAAGTAAACTGTTGATCGCGGGTGACAGCACGAGAGACAGTCACGAGTGATATTGTTTGTAGATGGTTCTTTGCTGAAGACACGTGGATCGGTCGTTCAGCGCCGGGAGAGAAAAAAAAGAATTGTTACGGACAACGGATATTGTTCCTTCTTCGTATTTAGGATCGCGCGTTGTTTACGTTGAAAACAAGAGAGGTATCCTGCGAGCTAGGAGATCCTTTCGGTGGAGTCGCGAGTTTTAGAGTCCCCGAGTGTATACACGTCGGCCAGTAGCCTATGAGGCAGTGCCTTATACAGTGCCTTGTAAATAGTTCGATTATTCGTTGAATCGGTCGTACCGAAGAGAGAATGTATGAAAAATATGAATGAGAGAACAAAAAATTATCGAATCGTGGACACGTCCTCTTTGAGTTGTTCGATTACGTTTTAGGAGTTTCGTTTAATTTTCACGCGATCGGGGCGTTCCCCGTTCACTTTTCTGCATTCTTTCGTTCCGTTTTGTCGATTGTACATACGTTTAGAAAGGATATCGTATTTTAAGTGCCTTATGCAACAAGAATCACCGAGGTCTTCCATTCTGTTTCTTGTACGTAAAAATAAAAGCACCGAGCGAGTGTTATGTATTTTGAAAAAGTACGAGGAACTAGTTTCTTCATTTTCTTTTTTTCTCTTTTTGTTTCTTTTTGTAACTAACGCGGATCTTTAGTTTGTAGGATTAGTTAAGGTGCGTGTGTTTGCGTGCGAGGGTGTGAATGGGAGAGTGTGCGAACAATTGTCTTATTTATATTTATATGAGTGCGGAGAAATTAAATTTATAATTCCTCTCTATTGTGAGAATAGAAAAGATCGACGCTTATCACTGCAAGAGCATCAAATAAATATTGATCTCTTTCTTCAAACTTACATCTGGTCTTATTCATTCAACGGTGTCAATCCATACTTCCACGCCTCAGCTGTCAGAAATTCCTTTCAATCTACTTCCTCTGTCCCAAATTGAATATCCGATTCTAAGTCGGTTCTATCATTCGATGTACACATCATTTCAATTCTTGAAAATATTTTTGAACGCGAGTTTCTTCAATTATACAGACTGAATAATCCTGGGTCCTGTAGTGTACTAATTTTTTAAATTCTTATATTGAAAAAAATATATATATATATATAAAATCAATTATTAATCATATATTTAATTGCATTCATTCTTCCAAAATTACTTGAAAAAAATTTTACATTCCTAGTAGAGCAGACATAGTAATATTAAACATAATATTTAGAATCTACTGTGACTTTTAGAAGTGAAAACTATGACATCTCTGCCACCCCGGAGCAGTCGAAAGAAAGCTCGATGTCCCATACGCACTGCTGCAGCTCAGAATCGAGACTGAACGAAGGTATGGTGCCTCGTCCGGAAAGGTGCTGCCACCTGACGAAAGATCTCGAAGGTTTACTCGCGGCAAACCGGTCTCCAGTCCCCTTTCCCGGGTCCCGTCACCCTATGAGGGGGCCCAAAATCGATCCCCACTCCCCAATCCGGGCTAACGTTACCAGTGTCAAGAGGCTGCTGCCGCCTGTTGGTCGATCCTCGAACACTCTGTGGCCCTTAGAACCTCCAAACTCCGACCCTTTTCAAACTCCAGAGGTAAATACGGGCTCGTAGTCCGCAGAAGTAGTTACGATCTAAGTTTCTCAAGGCAATTAAAATTGCACACCGGCGAAAAAAAATAAAACTAGATCGGAGATTATCAGAGTACGAGAGAATCTTATATCCCAAGTCCCCCGGTAGTAGCGATAACCGGTATAATCACCTTATTCGACTTTCACATGTAATCGGGCGTGAGTAGTTTTCCAACGAATCCATGTTTTTGCGCTTCCGGTTCGCCAACAAGCGGTTGCAACCGGGTTGGAAATCCCAGGAATCGTGAATATTTGCGCTCGGTGATTCAGGCATTGAATCGTGTGTTGCAACGTCCGTTCATAGAATTGCTAAAACTGCGCGTAAGGAATCGGTGAAAGTAACGGGGCTAAGAATGTTGAATTTCGGGTCGTTTGAAATTGAAAGGCTCAGTGGAAAAAGGGCACATGCCACATATACTGTCGGTTTTTAATTTTTTGTACCATCAGCAAGTTCAACCTAAGTTTTCTAAAAGTAGTTATGTAAATTTATAGTATTGTGGCATGTGCGCCTTTTCCACTAAGCCCCTCAATTCAATCTAGTTAGTTTCTCTGGAAAACAAGTGTATACACCCGTTGGTACTTGCCCCGTGGTAAGTTCGAATAATCAATCGTACCCGATCGTCTTCCGAGAAACGAAGACCCTTTAAAGTACAGCCAAAGGATCTCCATTTGAAATCCAGAGAACTGAGAAGTTTCGAATGTAAGTAAAGGGACAAGAAATCCTCCAGGTACAGTTCACTCGTCACAAAGATGATTCCAACAAGCAACCGCAGCACGTGCATTACCATAATGTTCCCCGCCCCAGGTGATCGCAGAGACCCGCGTACACGTTCGCAATTTGCAGCGGCGGAGTGGCGGTGGCACACGCGAAACACGTGGAATGACAAGTTGCGCGACGCCTTATCATTTCCGATCGTGAAACTGACGGTAGCCCTCGGGTCAATGTAAACAGCGCGTTCGAGAGTCTCGAGCAGGGCCGAAGTAAGACCTTTAGGGGCCCTAAGCAATTAAAAGATTTTGGTGTCCCCATATACATCACAGATAGCACATGATTACCATGGGCGTAGCGAGGTGAATTTTTACACGACCTTTCACGCGCGTCGTTTATCAGACAGCACGAGCCCACTGATTTTCACGTACGCAACGAGCGCGCGCACCGTTGCATAAGTGCTCGGCCAGGAGTTAGAATTCCCCAGTTTTATCTGCGGCCTGGCGGAGAGTTGGTTATCTTTCGTTACGTAAAATCCCCCCTCAGACAAACAGGTCCCACGAGATACCCGAGGTCTGCCACTCGGATTCTCTCCTCTCTAACCTCTCACGTACGATTTCCATAACGACGATCCCCCTTCCTCTCGAGACGGACGTTTCTTCGTGTCGAAACGCGCCCATAATTACCCTACCGTCTCCCTCCGACGAGCTAGTGGTCTTTGTTATTTTTTTCATTTTCTTCTCTCTGCTTCTTTCTTACTCGGTTCCCGTCCGCCACCAGGGGCCCGGCTCTAATGGGGTCCTTCGCGATGATAGTCAGGGACGCATAGTTTAGCGGGTAATTTAATTAAATCGCGCCTGCGCTTTTTCGCGACGCTCCTCATTATCTGCGTGAATCAACATATAGAATACGAGGGGACGACGAGATTCTGTTCTTCCTTGGAACGAAGAAGCGCCATTCTTTTGTCCCTGGTCCTGGCCCCCTGTCTTTTGTTCAACGGCCTTCCAAGACGGGCTTCTGCTTCTGAAATTTCGTGTTGCGTTCATTCGAGGCACGTTCCCTCCCCCCTCCTTGTGACTTTATAACGAAAAACATCGCTCACCAGGCAGCACCGTGATATCTCGGAATGGTAGAGACCACGATCACTGGCTGGCTTCCAGTGATAATTAGTATGCAAATTCGGGAGTCTCGAGCAGTAGTGCGCGCCTCCTGGATTGCTCGGCTTTGATATGTTAATTCGACGATGTTTCGTATTCGTTAGATTACGTGCAAAATCCTCCATTTACAGATCCCAGAGAGAAAATTGCTCCAAACCCACCGTGAAACTTTCTCCATAAACATCCTTACAATTTCTAAAAAAAAAAAAAAAACAGAAAACCTTATCAAGATAGCGCAAGCAGAATGGCAGGAGGTCTAGAGATCGAGTTCCCAGACGCATAAAAAAAAAAAAGAAACGGCTTAGTCACGGCAATCACTGTGAGTGGCGGTAATTATATTCAGCATCCATCCGAAGGAGGCCGGTGAGAATCCGATTGCACCTCTCGGCAGGCGTCTAGGAATTCCCCTTTTGTCGGCCAATCAGCTGATTCCTAGAAGCAGCGCGCGCGAACGTTCTCTCTAGGCGACTTGGCTCTCGTTGTACGGTCGCGGTCGCGTGGTTTCAAGGACAAGGCAAGGTTGACACGCGCCGCCACTCGCGGAACAGCAAGTGGGGGGTCTAACGCGGTCTCCTTCCCTACCACGGTTTCGCTTTTCTCTTGTCTCACAGCATCTCTCTATGCTTTGCTGCGTGCTCCCTCTCCCTCTCATCATTCCCCACGCGCTACCGAGCCACCGCGAGGCTGCCGACTACGCCCCGACCTCCTTCGTGTGTCGAACCTTTTACTGATAAACGCTATCCCCGACGACACTACCGTGGCTCGATCGTGCCGGCTGCGGGAAAACACGCCGGATGCCTTCGCTTCCTTCGTTTCTGTACCATCCGCACGCGTGGAGAGTAATAATTAAATAACGAAAGGATTTATCGTTTTTTTTTTCTGTTTGAAGTCATACAGTATGGAGAGACGAGGAGTCGTGTTGGAGTTGTTGGAAAGGTGTTTTGCAGGTGGTATTCTTTTATACAGATGTGGTTAAATATTGTAGGGCCCCTTGTATAATAAATTAGTTTTCAGTCGGAATATTAAACATAGGAGCACATGTTTTTATACATGTACACATGTTTGGAGGCCTATCCTGATATATTAAAAATATCGGTATTAAAGAATATCGGCTCTAACAAGAAGTAAGTTTTTCTATCCTTATTTATATAAAAGTTTATAATTAATATTACCTTGCTACTTAATAATTTATGCAATCGTAAGTACTCTTATCGAAAATAATTATAGTCACATACGAATATGTGAATATATCATCGGGAGGCCAACATTGCAGTCTGACCAAAGTCTGATCACTACAGACTTATTCTACTTCATCGACGAATTCTACTACCGCAGACTGCAGGTCTTCACAATGCATGTATGAGCGACACTGACGTATCGCAGACGGGCCAGAATAATTCCGAATTTAATTCGTACGCCATAAA